CGCAGAGAGTCAGACACGACTAAGCTTTCACTTTCACTTTCTTTGGTTGCTTAGGCAGGACCCATAGGTTTGGATTAGATGCAGATCTGAGCTACAGTTTTACAAGTTTAGAAACTAGACTTTGTTGTTCCTTCGTGTAACTAGAGGTAGACTGTGTTCAAGGGTTCTGGTTCATGCCTGTGAAGTTCGTTCAGTATTTAACAAGGCCTCCTGCTGGAAGGCCTTGTTCTAGGGGATGGCGATTGTACTTATCGGAATAAAGATTTAACTCCATGTGAGAGAGACCAGGAATGAAACAATAGCTTAAACAAGATAGGGGGCCATGCTTTTAGGATGGTTCTAGTCTATGAAGTTATTAGGAATACAGCCTTTCCTGTCCTATTTTGCTGTTCTTTAGGCCTTGCTTGTCCTTGTCTACATGATTCAAGGTGGCTAACCACCATGTTTGCTTTTCAGTTAGCATGAAGGAGGGAAGTGACTGAGAAGGGTACACCTTTTCCATTTAAAGGAAGAACTTAGAAGTCACAGACATCACTTCTCACATTCCATTGATCAGAACTTAGCAATGTGGCTACACCTAGTTGCAAAGGATACTAGCAAATTAAGATGCTTAGCTGAAAGTTGGAAATTCTGTTACTAAGGTGAAGGGAAAAATGGGTATTTGTTACCTGTAAGCAGTTTCTGCTACAGGAAGGTAGTGGTAAACAAATTACACAAAGTCCTTTGACATCAAAAAATTTATAATCTAGAGGGAGAAGCAGACTAAACAAAAACCAAATACAATACCTATATAACATATTTAGTGTATATATATATGTTTTATGTATGTTTGACACACAGAAATTTCAGGTTACAGTATGCTGGGAGAAAGTATAAAATAATATAAGGGAAGAAGAGAGAGGACTCTTGTTTGGGGACAAAGTGACGGAATGTAAACCATAGAAGGATCTTAGGGAAGAGTAGAAAAACAGTTAAGTGTAAAGATACTAGTGTTGGAAAGAGTTCAGGCATATTTTTGGTACAGCCAAGGAAATTCATGTGGCTGGAGCTGAGTGAGCAAGGCACTTAGGGTGAATTATCTGACCTGGGTAAGGAAACATTTCTTAGGTTTTCCTCTTTCCCTCTTAGCATGAATACAGGGATTTTGTTCTATTTACTGTTCTGTGTCCGTGGTGCCTAGAAGGGCATCTGGCACACAATTGCCGTCCATAAATTACCTAGTGACATAATCTAGAGTATATTGTACAGAAAGGATCAGAACAATTTCCATAAAATATTTCTTATTTTCATAACAAATGCATGTTTATTTGTAAAATTGCCATTCAGTTGGACATCCAGTTGGTTCTTCTAAGAGTACTTTAATTTCCAGAGTACTTTAATTTCCAAAATACTTGCTATAAATGCAAATAAAAATATTTTAATTAAAATGTAAAGAACTGACTCAGTAACAAAATACATAAGATAAAGTTTTTCTGAATAAACTTTATACATAGCTTATATTTTTATTCAAATTAGGCAAAAATTAGAGAAAAATTAAAAACCAACAAGGAGGGACTTGTTAAGACTGCATTGCCAATGTAGATGTGGGTTTGATCCCTGCTTGACCCCCTATGCCGTGAGGCACAGCCAAAAGAAAGCAACAAGGAAAAATAATAGTAGTTTCCATTTCCATAAGAAAGTACAGTGCATATTTTAGTATATTTCCTTTTCAACTTTATGTGTATATATTTATTGAAATAGATTCATTTTTCCTGTTTACATACTTTTCCAAATGTGTAAGAGGGTTCCCTTTTTTATACACCCTCTCCAGCATTTGTTTTTTGTAGATTTTTTTATTGATGTCCATCCTTACTGGTGTGAGGTGATACCTCATTGTAGTTTTGATTTTTGATTTGCATTAAAAGTAATTTCTTAACATCTTTCAGTTTCTTTTGCTTGTATAAGGTTTCTCCCATTGTAAGCTTGTGCAGGCAGGGATTTTTTGGTTTGGTAACTGCTATAACTCCAGTATCTATAGCTGTACCTGAAACATGGTAGGTACTCAAATATCTATTGAATGAATGAATCTGAATGAATGAAAGCATGACCATGAATAGATGAATTTTTAAAAACAGTAGCAGATAGCTCTTATTGTTTTTGAACTCTGCATTTTTTTTATTTTTCAATGTTACATGGGGTTTTTTTTGTTTTTGTGTTTTTTGGTTTTTTTGCTCAGTGTTGCAGTTAAGGCAGACTTAGTAAATTTACCTTATAGGGCTGTATACTATTTAGTCTGTCCCTCTAGAATGTTTTTTCTTTTTTCTCAAATACTTTTCTTCAGTTAAAGCAGTATAATTACTCACTTATCACCCAATTTTTTAAATCCATGTGCTTGCTATAGGAAAGGGATTAAGTGGAATACTATTACTTCCTAGAAGCAAGGAGTTAATCAGATTTTGTATACTTAAAAATAAGCTTTTGGCTAGTTAATTGTAGCTTTCTGGCTCATTATAAGGCTACTTCCTTTTAGAAGTTTGATTTTCACCTTTGGAATCAGTAGTGAATATTATAAAATTATTTTCTCTGGGAGATTTGTATAGAATAGTAGAATAACAATTTTCGTATGATTGTGTAAACCTGCTTATTAAACAGAACATATTCTTAGTCTTACATTTTCCAGTACCTCCAAAATGATATATGTTCTTTAGTTATTATTAATCTGAGTTTTAGTTGATTCTTAAGAATTTCCTATGTCACGCTGATTTGGGAAAAAAATACATTGTTCCAGGACAAAATCATTTAAAAGCTGTGACTTCCATTTCATTGTTTCTATAAGAGGGTTTGAGGTGGCTTTTGCTCATTTGGCTTTTCTGCCATCCTTTTCCAGTTCAGTCATATTTCTTAGATCATTGTGGTGATAAGGCAATGTAAGGGGAAAAAAAAAAGAAGTACACACTCAAAATTGATACTTGTGCTGTTAATTGGGGAGCCTTTTGGAGATCATTCTGAAACATCGTTTCATCTGTAGTTTCAGGTTTTTTTTTTTTTTTCATTTATTTTTATTAGTTGGAGGCTAATTACTTTACATCATTGCAGTGGGTTTTGTCATACATTGAAATGAATTAGCCATGGATTTACATGTGTTCCCCATCCCGGTCCCCCCTCCCACCTCCCTCTCCACCCAATCCCTCTGGGTCTTCCCAGTGCACCAGGCCCGAGCACTTGTCTCATGCACCCAACCTGGGCTGGTGATCTGTTTCACCCTAGATAATATACGTGTTTCGATGCTGTTCTCTTGAAACATCCCACCCTCGCCTTCTCCCAGAGTCCACAAGTCTGTTCTATACATAGGAGTCTCTTTTTCTGTTTTGCACATAGGGTTATCGTTACCATCTTTCTAAATTCCATATATATGTGTTAGTATACTGTAATGGTCTTTACCTTTCTACCGCTCCCGGCTGCTCTATATGGAGCGGGCCCTGCGTTGAGTGCGGTTCCAGTTTTCGGGTACTCCACAAAAGCGCAGATTCGGTTGCGTCTGCGTTTTGTGCCTTCCCCGGCCTGAGCGGTTCAGGCAGCCAGAGGCTTGGGCGCACTCTCTCCGGATGTGGCGCGCCTTTTCCCTCCGCGGCGGGCAGCTCAGGCAGCCAGAGGCTTGGGCGCAATCTCCCCGGGTACGGCGCGCTTTTTCCCTCCGCGGCCCCAGCGCGCACCGCCAGTCGGGTCTCAGGAAGTCTTTAGATAGGAACCGGGGGCCTGTTTGCAGTGTGGGAGGGGGTGGCTTCTCAGGGGCTGTTTGCCCTTTTCCCCTCCCCCCTGCCTCCAACCTCCAGCGGGGATGGGCCGGCTCTTCTCTGGACTTTCTCAGTCCCTTTGTTTTGCGAACCGCCGGCAGTGTGTTCGGGCCTGTTAATTTTGACCCTTGCTATCCCACAGTTTGGAAAAGCTCCCTCCGATTGCTCTCAGGGTCTTCGGGCCAGTCCTTACCCTAAGCAATGCCGCCCGCTCCTCTCCGTCCCGCCCCTGCTTGTTGCTGGCGGGTACGGGCGTCTGGGGTACTTTTCTGCTGGGAGTTGCTTTTAGGCACGTAATCTGTGGGCCTTGTTTAATTTTTCCTCCCAGTTAGATTGCCGAAAACTTCCCCCAGTCCCGCCAGTGCGAGGGTTTCCTGGTGATTGGAAACTTCCTCTATTAAGACTCCCTTCCCGGGACGGGTCTCCGTCCGTAGCTCTTTTGACTCCCTTTCTATCCTTTATATTTTGTCCTACCTCCCTTCGAAGACAATGGGCTGCTTTTCTGGGCGCCTGATGTCCTCTGCTAGCGATCAGAAGTTGTTTTGTGAAATTTGCTCAGCATTCAAATGTTCTTTCGATGAATTTGTAGGAGAGAAAGTGGTCTCCCCGTCCTATTCCTCCGCCATCTTGGCTCCTCCCTCCAGTTTCAGTTTTTAAATACACGCCTAGGAAAACAACCCTGAGAGAAATAATCTCAGCAACTTCCAGTGAAAGATTTAGGGTGAATCTATAAAATGCCATATGCCTAATAATTAAGATGAATATATTTGGAAATGTGTGTAAAATGATGTTGAAAAAATAACATAATACACACATACTGGTTACGGTTATTAAAAAGAAGAGGTATATTTTTGGATAGGGATTAGTAGAGACAGTACAATAGAATTGTGCCCTTGTTTATGGAATCTTTTTCAGGAAAAGAGGTTTACATGTTCACCAGTGCAATAAAAATCCAGCCACTCTAATAAATAACAATGGATAAAAGGAAAACAATTCATTTAAATGTGAAAAATGCTTGCAAATGGACTGTATAGTTATACATATCTATATACATGTATATATAAGGAAAAACTGTAATTAATGTTTATACACAGAAAACTAAGCGTCATACTTGAGGGAAGAAACTTAGTATTTATATGGAAAGAGGATAACTTCTGAATTCTGAAACACATCTGTTACCAAGTAGAAACTGTTTCTAATAATTGTTATGTAACTTTATTCTTACAGGCCAAAGAGTGTGGCCAGATGCAAAATAAGTGGCTGATGATAAACATTCAAAATGTACAAGACTTTGCATGCCAGTGCCTCAACCGTGACGTATGGAGCAATGAAGCTGTGAAGAATATTATCCGGGAACATTTCATTTTCTGGCAGGTGGGGAGAGTTAATCAAACATTTTATAGCATTTTACTTTGATAGTATGGGGTGTCTAGGAGGAGGAAGCAGGTTATAAGCTGAAAAAAAAAATAACTGAATTAAATTATGACATGAAAAAATAAAGCCACCCGTAATGGTTAAGATAGTAAAGACAAAAGAAAATTAGGGCATCAGTGAAGAGAAGGAGGAAAAAACAGAACCAAGCCAAAAAAAAAAAAAAAAAGAGCCAAGCCATATAACCATATAGTATGCATACTTCAGAAGAATTTTAACATCATTTTTTAAGCATCTTGATAAGAGTGTATAGCTGTACTGTTTAACAGAAATGTAATATGATTAAAATTTTATTGTAGCCACGTTTTTAAAAGTCAAAAGAAACAGGTGATTGATTCTAATATATTTTAAAAATCAGTATCTGTAATATAAAACTAATGTTAAAATATTTATTGAGGCATTTGGGTTGTGGTTTTTTTTTGTATTTTTTGGGGGGTGTTAAGCTTTCAGGATCTGGTATGTATTTTACATTTACAATATAGCTGTTAGGATTAGTCACATTTCAAATGCTTCAGTAGCACATGTTCTGGTGGCTGCTATAATTGATTGTGTAGAGGTAGAAGATTTGAAGGAATTGAGAAACCTTTGTTTAGTATATTGATTTTAGCTTGAGTTTGGTACTCTTTAACTGTATGTCCTTAAATTTGTCACTTAGTCTTTCTGGCTCTGGTTTCTTTTTATATAAATTACCATGCTAACAGTAGGTGATCTTGCTCCAATTTTTTATATTATGAAAAATTATAAAGGAAAATTATAGGGAAAAACTCCTATAGTCCAGTGGTTTGGACTCTGAGACTTCCACTGGGGACACGGGTTCAATCTCTGGTCAGGGAACTAAGATCCTACATGCTGTGCAATGCAGCAAAAAAAAAAAAATTATAAAAAATAAAAACTTCTGAATTAATTTTTTCCCCACTCTAAGATGTTAGTAATTTGCCAGTTCATTCTTTACAGGCCCCTGAATTCAGTAAGTTTTTTTTTTGAACAGTAACCTTTTATTCAACAACTATTGACTGAGCATCTGTTTGCCTAGCAGTATGCTGGGCACTTGAGTTGATAATCTTAACGTATTGTGATTTATTAAGATGTTTGTAGTTGAGAGTCAGAAGTGACATAGATGGACAGATGACTTGAAAAGGAAGAACTGGGTAAAGGAGGAAGGATGGATTGCTGTATTTATGTAAGTGTCAGAAGTGACTCTGAAGGCAGGAAGTGAAGAGTTCACATTAGGTGACCTTCATTTTCTCTGTAGGCAGTGAGAGCCTAACATTCCGAAGGTGCTTTGGGAGAATTAATAGCTGTTGGTATATAACAAGGTACTTTTGTAAGAGGCTGATTTTTTTTTAATATGTATCAATGACTTAACAGGTCTATCACGACAGTGAGGAAGGTCAGAGATACATACAGTTTTATAAGCTAGGGGATTTCCCCTATGTTTCCATCTTGGATCCACGGACAGGTAAGGTGTATTTTAGCTTATAGCCTTTAACCTATCGTGTATCTTTCAATTATCTAAATAATCTGTAATTTTATCTTGGGTCCAGTTTCAAGATTGTGTGTAGTAATGTATATGAAAGGTTCTTGTTCATGTGCCTCAGAATTACTTAAAAATCTATTGATATGTGTATTTAGGGAGTTTGTTAGGAAACAACTTTGGGAGATGGTAGTATTTTAAATTTGCAGTTCTGTTCTTTCAAAGAATAATAGTTTATCTTATCATTTTTAAGGATCCCCTTAGGTCGTTTATTTAAGATTGTTCAGATACTCGTAATCCCACCAGAGAAGCAGAGGGTAGAGCTAGTTTCATTATTAACTGATTGAGTTTTGTGTATGTATTGCTTTGTCTGAATCTCTTTTTCTAAATAGCAATAAATTATATCAGCAGATAAAGTAGTTGTTCTATCATGAAGGCTGGGAATCTCTTAAGTTGGTTATAATATCTTCTAGATTATGAAGACACTGTAACTTAAGTAGTGATGGGTGGGGATATGTTCCCAGTAAATTTTAATTGTGTGTATGCTGAAAGAAATACTTAGAATTCAGAAAGAATGTTGGGTTTATTATATTTCTGTATCCTGGTTTTTAATCTTTAGGTCAGAAGCTTGTAGAGTGGCACCAGTTAGATGTATCTTCTTTCTTGGACCAAGTAACAGGATTTCTGGGTGAACATGGGCAATTGGATGGACTTTCTAGCAGTCCCCCCAAAAAATGTGCCCGTTCAGTAAGTATGACTGAGAAGTGGTGATGGGCAATTAAATGTAATTGTATAGAAGTGCCTTGTGTAAAATGTTTGAGGTTAAGATGGTAAAGATGATAATGTAAGTGGCAGACAGTTAAAATATGTGGCTGTACAACATCTTACATTTTGATAGTTTCCCACATAAGGGTTCTTTCTTATCAGTGAAATTGCAAGATTCATATTTCCAGTCTCACTTGCTGCCAGGGTCAGGCAGTGAACAGGAGGGCTCACCTGTGAGCCCAGTAACAGAGAAACCCACTTTTTGAAAGGCAGTACTGTTTGGACTTTTGGAATCCAGGTCTAAGCAGCAGCAGAAATGGTATTTTTTTGCTAGAACATCTCTCATGGTGTAGTTGGGCATTATTTCTGATTACATAGCTTTAGGCCCTAGCTCTCAGGCCCACCTAAAGATTATTTCTATATTTAATTCTATAATATGCTATTACTAGGCAGACCTACTTGATAATTGATAGCAAAATTAGTTTTAAATAAGAGACCTTCAAAGTTGTGGGAATCTCTTATTGATTATGGGAACTATTTGGGTTTGTGGCAGTGAGGATGAAATTAATTATAGAGGATCTGACTTTAGTAGTCCAGTACCATGTGGTAATGAAACAGTTCCTGTTTCATTATTACTGAAAATAAAGTGCACATTTAAGGAGAGGCTATGAGTACTTGCCAAGGGTTTGTATAGAATTCATTTTCCCACTTCCATTACTAATGAATTTTACTTAAGTAGAACTCTTTTTTAAGACATTAAAAAATCCAGGAAGTTTCTATGATTTCCCTGAGAGAGTTTTCTCATCTTTTGCAATCATAGGCTGAAATTTTCAAAATCCAGAGCCTGAGCTTTCAAGTTGCTGAATTACAACATAAATTTGGTTTAATATTTCACCAGATGTCTTAGAAAAGTTAAGGAACTTGGTAGGGAAAAGAATGGGGCCATAAAATTGGACAATTACATAGGGCTTATTTGGGTCATTAGTACCTCAGACGCCACTTCTGAACTAAATAATTCTCTGACTTAACAAATTCTAATCAACTCTGTACAAGAGAAACTGTAACACATAAGAGCTTAAACAAGGAAGACATCTTTTCTCAATAAGAAGTTCAGAGGAAAGCAGTCTAGGACTTGACTGCTGTGGATGTCATCAAGGAACCAGGTTCCTTCTCTTTTTTTTTTCCCCCCACTTCCATCCTTAGTTTTGGCCTTTATCCTCATGGTTATGGTATAGATGCTGTGCTCCCAGTATCACAGTCTAATGGACAAGGAGAAAGGAGGTGATATCTTTACTACAAAGATAAACAGCCGCAGGTAAAGAATTCTGCTTATTTTAGCTGGACACAGTTGCTTGTACAAGCACAGTTGAGGTATCTTTTAATAAGCAAAGATCCTTATTATGTCTATAAAAGGAAGCATGCCCCACTAAAAAATTCCATTTACCAGTTTCCCTTGCAGCTAAAAAAAAATTGGAGCTAAAGTATCACTTACAGAGAAAGTAAATAACTGAATGCCTGTATTTAAAAAGAAAGCCTCAAATTAATGACTTAAGTTTCCATCTTAAATGAAATGAAAAGACCCACACAGAAAAAATTAAATCAAACCCAAACTACACAGAAGGAAAAGGGGAAAGAACATAGATCAACCAGTAACTTAGAAAACAAAAGAAAAAATTAAATGAAGCCAGAGGCTTGTTTTTTAAAAAGTCAATAAAATTGGTAAGCCTCTAGTCAGATGGTCAGGGGAAAAAAGCCACAAATTACCAATTCCAGGGTTGGGAGAGGGGCCATCCATATAGATATTACAGTTATTGAAGAAATAATAAGTAATGCAGTGAATAACTACATCAAATACTTGACCCTTTAGGTAAAAAGGACAAATTCCTAGAAAGACACAACCTACTAAAGCTCATTAAAGGAAAGACAGATACTCGAATAGTCCTATTAATATATCTATTAATTAAATTGAATTTGTAGTTTAAAACTTTGCACAAAGAAAACTATGCCCGGGTGGTTTCCCTGGTAAATGTCTTTATTAAGGAAGAAATAATGCTAATTCTACACAGACTCTTCCAGGAAACCAAAGAGGAAGAAATACTGCCTAGTTCATTGTGAGGCCAGCATTAACTTGATATCAAAACCAAAACCAAAAACTGAGCTTTGTTTTACAAGGAAAACAAGAGACAAAGAAACTAATAACCCTCATTAACAGAGATACAAAAATTCTTGACAAAATTTTCGTAAATCAGACTTAGCAGTTTATAAAAGAGCAGTGCATCTTAACCAAGTGGGTTTTAGCTCAGGAATGCAAGGTTGGTTTAATGTTAGACAACCAACCAGTGGAATTCACTACTAAGAAAACCATATTATCCGCCTCGAGTACAAAGTTAAATAGAAGTAGGATCTTGTAAGTAAGGAATCAGAGGAGAATGAATGTTGGCTAGGAAGCCAGCAGTATCTACTATGGTGACAGTCTTTAAAATCAAGCTGCATGCTGTGTAATATCATTATTATAAACCTACAGTTCACCTAAGCCATTGCCGGTCACATGGGTACATCTACTTGCCTTTTTATTTATTTATTTATTGGTGCTAAATTAGCTTTAAGTTGCCTTAAAATTTAAAAAAAAAAAAAGGTGTTTTTTTGTTATGTTATTGGCAGATAGGGTAAGCCAAATTGAAACTCCTTTAGTTTTTTGTTAGCAACCTGCACTTTTTATTGTGGAAAGGTTTAGAATAGAAGGAGTTTATTGAGCCTCTATGTGTCCATTAACTAATTTCAGTCATAACAACTTGTGGTGAGTCTTGTTTCAGCTATACCCTATCCTTTGAAGCAAATTATTTTGACGCAAATCTCAGAATTCATTGTTTTATTCATTAATTCTTTGACATGTATCTTTAAAAGATAAAAGATTCTTTTTATTTTTTTAAAATAATCACAGTAAAAAAAAAATAATAATAATCACAGTATCCCTAACACACCTGCAAAAAATTAAGTGTAGTTCCTTTATATCATAAAATATCCAGTGTTCAGCTTTTGGCTATCATAAAAAATCTTTTTGTGTAGTTTGGATTCACCCTAGTAATGCCTATTTTGTGACTCAACAAGTTTAGTGAAATCTGTGACATTAGGACTTTTCCATGGGGAGAACTATTGAAAGTCGCTTTTCATGATCACAGTGAGAACCTTCATTGAAATTAAGTTTGGAAAAATATAGTTGTTTTTTTCATATTTTTTATACAGTATTTTGTTTTGTTTTGAATGTTAAAGATCTGACTGTTAGATTTGAGTTATTTATTTACTAGATAGCCTTCTGTCTGCCAAAGCAGTGCTGGTTAGTGAGCAAGATAGACATCTTTCTTTGTGCTTAGTCATGTTAAAGACTAATGTTTCGACTTTTATATTTAAAACCTTAATTCATGGCTTGTTCTGGGCAAGGAATAAGTTGTTTTCTTGATTTTATTCACTTTGATTTCCCCCACCCCACATCCTGCCAAATCCTGTGCTTGCAATCATTGTGCCAGATGGTGTGACAGTTTATATTTTTGTGTTTAAAATGCCATTCCAACTTGGCTGTTTAAGACAAAGTTGTTGCCCTCAAATAGCTTAAAATTTAGTAGAAGAGATACATCCAGCAGACAATAATAATGGCAAGCTGACTGTTTCATTTCCCATGCCCTATTTGACTTGATTATTTTTTTGGTTTAACTGTTTTCTTTTTCTTTCTACCCGTGTTGTATGACTGCATCTTGCAGGAGAGCCTTATAGATGCAAGTGAAGACAGTCAGCTAGAAGCTGCCATCAGAGCCTCCTTACAAGAGACACATTTTGATTCCACACAGACAAAACAGGATAGCCGCTCAGATGAAGAATCTGAATCTGAACTTTTTTCTGGCAGTGAGGAGTTCATATCTGTTTGTGGCTCTGATGAAGAGGAGGAGATAGAGAATCTTGCGAAGTCTAGAAAGTCTCCCCACAAAGATTTGGGGCATAGAAAAGAGGAGAACAGGAGGTCACTGACTGAGCCCCCTGCCAGAACTGAGCCTGGAACAGCCACAAACCACCAAGGGTTGCCAGTTGTGGATTCAGAAATATTGGAGATGTCACCTGAAAAATCAGATGGAATAGTGGAGGGCATTGATGTAAATGGTGGGTCACATTTTAAACTTCCTTTACTTAAAACTTAAATATTACTGAAGAGAATTATTTGTTTAAATTAGTCTTCTGTCACACAGCTATATGTTTTTTTTAACCCTTCCTTTAGGACCAAAAGCACAGCTGATGTTGCGGTATCCAGATGGAAAAAGGGAACAAATCACTCTTCCAGAGCAAGCTAAACTACTAGTAAGTATATCTAATTTACTTGAAGCAGAGAAACTAATTGATATAATTAGCTTGATGATTCTTTGATATGGGTGTTAGTTAGGTCTTACCTCTAACTGGAAACTTTACTGTGGTGAATCTTTTAATTCTCACTGCTTTATTTCCTTCCCACCTTATCTTGGGCAACTTGCATAGTCTGTTCTAGTCAAGGTTTCTCTGTTCCATAGCTCCTTGCAATAGAAACCCAACTGAAATTATTACCTGGAAAAGGAGTGAGGTTTATTTGATGACTGTAGTGGGGCCTCCTGGGTTTCCTAGTAGCTGGAATTGAAAAGTAGTTAAAAAACCATGACTGTTTTTCTGTGTGTTTCTCTTGTGGGGCCTGTTGAGTTTTCCCCTGGCGATGCTCTGCTTCATACCATTCTTCTCTCTATTCTGGTGACTGTTGTTTGGAAAACAGCTTGTACATAATCCGTAATAGGGATATATTGAGAGCTTTTCCTCTAGAGTCCACAGCTGATAAGCCTTCCCTCTGTGTTTTTCAACTCCTGGAAAAGAGAATGAATCTGACTTGTTTAGATTAGCCTATGAATGAATCCTCCTTGGGTCAAGTGTTTATACCTGGCCATTTCCTGTGGCTGAAAATAATTAAGACTCTTGAAGACTGTGACAAATGCAGGCAGCCTCTGGCCTCTGGTGTTAATACCTAGAATGTCTCCCTAGTCTAGTAATTGGAAAGGAATGGGAAATGAAACAATGAATACAGGTATAGACCACTTTTTTGAGAAGATTGGTTTTGAATCTAGAGTGGGAGCAGCAGTCAGAGGGAGAAACATGATTGAAGGAGAGACTTAAGCATGTTTAAATCTGATGGGAAGCATCTGTAGAAAAGATGTTGAAGATACATGTAAAAGAATGGTTTGTGCACAATGAGGTACCATTACACGCCAGGCAGGATGGCTGCTATCCAAAAGTCTACAAGCAATAAATGCTGGAGAGGGTGTGGAGAAAAGGGAACCCTTTTACACTGTTGGTGGGAATGCAAACTAGTACAGCCACTATGGAAAACAGCGTGGAGATTTCTTAAAAAGCTGGAAATAGAACTGCCATATGACCCAGCAATCCCACTTCTGGGCATACACACCGAGGAAACCAGATCTGAAAGAGACACGTGCACCCCAATGTTCATCGCAGCACTGTTTATAATAGCCAGGACATGAAGCAACCTAGATGCCCATCAGCAGACGAATGGATGAGGAAGCTGTGGTACATATACACCATGGAATATTACTCAGCCATTAAAAAGAATTCATTTGAATCAGTTCTAATGAGATGGATGAAACTGGAGCCCATTATACAGAGCAAAGTAAGCCAGAAAGATAAAGACCATTACAGTATGCTAACACATATATATGGAATTTAGAAAGATGGTAACGATAACCCTATATGCAAAACAGAAAAAGAGACTCCGATGTATAGAAGAGACTTGTGGACTCTGGGAGAAGGCGAGGGTGGGATGTTTCAAGAGAACAGCATCGAAACATGTATATTATCTAGGGTGAAACAGATCACCAGCCCAGGTTGGGTGCATGAGACAAGTGCTCGGGCCTGGTGCACTGGGAAGACCCAGAGGGATCGGGTGGAGAGGGAGGTGGGAGGGGGGACTGGGATGGGGAATACATGTAAATCCATGGCTAATTCATTTCAATGTATGACAAAAACCACTGCAATGAAAAAAAAAATAAATAAATAAATAAATTTGTCATTATAATAAAAAAAAAAGAATGGTTTGTGGTGGTGGCATGGCTTCTGAGAAGGCAAGAAAGGATTCAGTGCACAACTGACAAGATAGGATGAAGGACATATCTTCCCTGATAAATAGAAGGAAGGAAAACTACTGAAATGTTTAAAAATGAGGATAATAATCTTATAAACAGAACTTGGGTTTGTTTATTGGTGAGACAGTAATAACCCTGAACATTCAATGTCATTTACTGGCTATTAATTATTGAGTACAGGTTTATTATCTCCCCATGCAAAGTGTTATATTGCCACTTCTACAAGAGTAAGCTTCAGTTTTTATAACTTAAACTTACATCTTATCTGATATAAAAATGAATATTAACATTTTTTAATTCTTCATTATGGTCTGTCTTTTGTTTTCATTTAACAACTTTGTCTTTTCTCTTTGTTTTTCATAGGCTTTGGTGAAGCATGTCCAGTCTAAAGGATATCCAAATGAACGTTTTGAACTTCTCACCAACTTCCCTCGGAGGAAACTCTCTCATCTGGACTATGATATTACATTACAGGAGGCAGGCCTTTGTCCTCAAGAGACTGTCTTTGTACAGGAAAGAAATTAACATCACGGCCTGACCTCTCTCAGCTTACCCCTTTTTTTCCCTTTTTCTGTGAGATACCATGTCACTGAGTATGCATTTTGGCTCATAGGACCATAGAGCCAAAGTTGGGCAAGCAAGTCACCTGCCTTCTCTTCTGTTTCTTGTTCTCTCCTGTAATCAGCCTCACCTTCCCCCTTTTTTTCCCTCCTCTCCCATTTTCTTCCTTTTCCTACTTTTCTCTCTCTTTCTTAACCTAATCTGGTGACCAAATGGAAGTGTTAGGATAAGACCTCCTAGTACTGGCAGCAGGAAATGTGTGTTCCAATAAGTGGTCTCTTACACAGCACTTTTAGGGGATCAAATGAAATGTTACTCCTCAGACTCCTTTGGTAAAGGAATGGCTAGATTCAGAGTAAGAACAGCCTCTCTGTTTTGTAAGCCCTTTTTTAGTAGGGAGAAGAAATTCTCTAACACATGTTTTGTTTTGTTGTTCATGTAGGAAATACCACATAACAAGTGCCCAGGCTTTTGTTTACATGGAAAAAGCATCCTTTATAATTACTGCTCATTATATTTAATGTTTTTCTCAAAGAACTCCCATCTAGAATTATTTCCATGATATGTGTTATTGACAGAAAGACTGTTAAATTGGGGTGAGTAGCATGGAGTGACTTTCAGTATCCTAGCCTGAGACAGCTTTCTTTGTTATTACTCTATAAAACTATCTTGATCCTGCTAATCTTGGGATGGACATTGTGTGAGCACATTGTGATGACTAGGATAGGAAGGTACTTGCTGTTTTTGCCAGTACAGCATATTAGTTCCTTTGGCCCTTCCATTGTTTGGGTCCACGAGTGATCTATAGGAAGGCAGCTGTTAAGTAATCATGAATACAATGGCTTGTAGTTGTAACCACTATGGTTATTGACTGTCCTATGTGCTTTAAGGCATACTTAAAGTATGCCCTAGGGGAAAAAGAAGAAGATGCAGCTGAGAGTTGCTAACCATGTTCCTTTGGTTAGAAATAATGATTTATCTTTTACTGTTGGTTGGAACTGTCTCTGAAAAGCTCTGGTGATTGAATGAGCTTAATTCCTCATGCAGTTTTTACAAAAGGTATCAAAACTGAAAACTTAGTTCTAAGGGGAGGACCCTTAAAATCAGTTCATAAGACAGCATTTAGTAACGGAAGTGGGGAAGATTACCTGTAATTTTCGGGTGTGGGTTTTTTCTGCCAACAAAAGCCACATTCAAGTTGTAGTTGGTGAGCGCTTTTTTCAGTATTATTTAGAAGAGGTCATCTTGAATCTATTTAATACGATTAGACTTACCAGCTTCACATTATGCTCAGTTCTTACTTTGAGCTTTAGAGTCCTCTGAACGGGTAGCAGTAATTCTGGTGGCAAAATCAGAACTTTTAACTTGTTATAAAATCATAATACAGAGTGAACCTATTTTGTTGATTGGGATTTAGATTGATTGATTCTTCTACTTGAGGAAAATAAATTGCTATTACTCAGAGACCTTTAGGTTCCCATCTACTTTAAGATCACTCTCCTGGCAACTGGGGGATTTAAAAAAAAAAGAAAAAAGATACTTGTGTGTTGCTAGTACACAATTAGAGAATACGGTTTCTAATGGTTGGACTTTGAGGGACCCTCCCTAAAGAATGAGTTATGTATGTCCTCAAGGAAATCATGGAAAATTCTGTTTATTCTTCAGTGAGTCCTTTTGAATTGATGTTCTTACATTTTTTTCTAAGTCTGTGTAAGTGCTTATGTATAAGTATATAATTGTATAAATATTTATAAATATATTTATATAATTACAATTTCATTTATACCTTGAGTCAAAGTTCTCTCTTTAGATTGGTGACTGAGTAATACCACTTTGGTGTATTTTCATAGGCTTTCGAGGCTAACTAGCAGCTTCTTATTCATTGAGGAAGCATGGTTTTCATGTTAATTCCTCAATTGTTTTGCTGAACTTGGATAATATACTTGCTATCTGAAGAACAGAGCTATATACAAAGGTGCATTAGGGGGTAAAAAAACTATTGGTCATAGACAAGGTCAAAAATCTGAAAATTCAGGGAGGCACAGGGTAAGAGGTGATGTTACTCTCAGCTTTGGTGCTGTGATGGCACCTGTCTCCACTCTCAGCAGAGTCACAGCTAAAGTCCAAATCTGTTAAAAATATGAAGTCAAGAATTTTCCCCATAGGATTCTGTTTCATTCTTTTACCTACTAGTTTCTCTTTGTAAAACATATCTAGAAACCTTAAGACAACATGTTCATTAATGATAAGATGTAGTTCTTTCTGATAAGCTCAGCTCTGGCATATCCACATACAAGAAACCAAAGTAACTTTTTCAACTTTGATTGCTATGAGATGACCACATCAAAGTGATACAAGTAAGCATATCAAAGAGATGGGGCATGAGATATTGATCCAACTTAAATAAAACAGGGGTTTTTAGAGTTCAAGATGTAGAGGATTTTATTTTGAGGCAGGAGTGTAATTATCCTGGGTTTGGTATACAAGCCCACAAGGAAGGCATTATGAATTGTACACAGGAAGAGTATGGATTGTGCTTTGTGCAAGAACTTAATCCACTTTTATTAGTAAGTCTTATTTCCTCTGCAAATTCCGTAGCTCTTTGGAAGAGAGGTTTTATTGAATAGATAAAATGAAGTTAGTAAGATTAGGTAAAAATAGTCACTCCTCTTAAGTATTGGAAATAGCTTGAAAGAGACCTTAAAAGGTAGGAAGGAAAAGAACAAGATAGAGTTTGATGAGACTAAATGACAGAAGACAAATATAGGGAGATGAAATGAAAATTAGTAGGGAGGAAAGTAACAGGAAATCATTTGAATTTGATTTATGAAGGGACCAGAGAAGAGAATAGCCAAACAGGGGAAGAACAGGAAAGTAATTTTGAGTAACTAACAAATACTAAGTATTTCATGTGCATTTTCTCCTTTAGTCTCCCTAAGAACTCCACAAAATGCATATTTTCCCCATTTTATAAAAAAGGAAGAAAATTGAAGTTTAGAGAACTTGTTCAGGATGTCACAGCTAGTAAGTGGCAAAATCAGAGTTGACATTCATGCTTTTTTTTCACTCCCGTGCTGTCGTCTCCAACAGAAATCAATTTGTTCAAAAGGTTATCTTCTCATTGTTTGGCTCTGTAAGTTATTTGGTTTTGTTTCCTTAAAGCTCGTGAGATTTGTACTATGCCTATATAGTCTTATTTACACCATTATTTTCAGGGGCTGATTACTAATTGTTCTTTAAAAATGATGCACTGATGAAAATGTGAAAGGAAAATAACTATGGCACTATTTGCCAAGAAAAAAATGGAAAGGATAAAAAAGAATTTTATCAACTTTTTTTTTTTACCATTTTTCAGCAAAGATACAATTATCTTTTCTATATCCCATCTATATTAGATTGTTGAACATTCTGTGTGTGTATTTTCAAATCTTCTATAAAATTCTACTTCCTTGACTCTGTAAGTTAACAGTTATTTGAGTCCTTAATCAAAGTTGGAAAAATCTTAATCTAAGATCTGCTTCCTGCCTGTTTTATCCAGTTGGAGAGACACACTACACATGAGATAATAGAACATGTAAACGCTTACTTTCCTGAGTCTGAACCATAATTATAGTAGAAGTTTAGAAAAGGTAAAGAATAGTGTAAGTTTTATTTAGGGAAATAAAACTGAAAAGTGGCAAACACTTGCTCACATTTTCTTTTGATTCCCCTGTATTCTTTAGTACCAGCTTTTGAAACTGCTAGATTTAGGGTGTGACATTTAACAATAAGGCATAACTAGGAAAGAATTATTGATCCCAGGATTAAAGATTTAAGCCAGCAGGGATCTCATTTGGACATTTAGGAAAATACCAGAGGGAGCCACTTCCTACTGGAAAGGGAAGATTTAATTTCTCTTCCCAGGTACACATTAAATGTATTATATGCAGAAGGGGCACTATATTAGGTATAAAGTATACTTGGGTTACATCTGTGCTTCTAATTCTCTGTTGGGAATTGGACTAGGTCAATAGTTCTTAGTCTGTTCAAGTAAAAGGGCTTGTAGTGTTAAAATCTGGCAGTGGTGGGGAGTTGTGGGGTTAAGTATTAAAATCCTTAATTCCTTAGGTGTGCATGTGGAATTGCAGATCCTTTCCAGAGACTCTGGGAACCCACAGATTGAGGACCACTGAATTATATTATCTCTGAATCCTCTCCACTCCAAAATTTAATGCTCTGAGTCTCTTCCTTTTATTTATGTTATCCCTAGAGTAATTAAAAGTACTCTTGTTAATCAGTTCTTGCTTTTCCCCCTGTGTCCAGGTTTCATTTGTCCAGTAACTTGATCTACCCATACTGTGATGATTGAAATCTCCAGAAGGAGAGTATAATAGTTTCAGGTTTACTAATGATCCTTTAAACAGAATTCATTACTTTTAATTAAAACTTAATGCTGTTTTCCTAATCAGTGTTGAGTGTAACTAAAATGTAATAATAACCAGTTATTTCACTGACAGCCAAAGTTAAATTTAATTCTGTATGTTTGCTTAAACAAAGCAGTTTACTGACTAAGCAGTTGTTGGGAAATTGATTTGTGTAAATTGTAGAATTCACTTGGTTTTGACAGAAACAAGTTTTTCAGGATCAGATTAGATTGACTTTTTAAAATATTTCTTACCGCATAGAGTGTATCTCCATGGTGTCATTCTGTCTTTCTGGATCTCTTTCATTTAGAGCCAGAGAGAGAGTAAATAGTACTCAGAAGTATTACTCAATAGTAAATCATGAAATGGAGATTGATGAGTAAGTAAAGTCTTGTGTAAAATTAAATGAGAGTAAGAAGAACCCACCCTTCTGGTGAACATAGCAGTTTTCCAGTAAACATAAGCCTTGATGAAAAGGCCACTTAAGGACAGCTGTGTACTATGAATATTTAACTTCATTTATTTGCCTTGCTTAGCATTTTACTTACTGTCTTGCCATGA